GGTGACGGAGAGGGACCTGGAAACAGAGCTGGATCTCCGGCTGCGGGCGCGTTGCCACGCGCGAGGACCACCCCAGAGGACGTCAAGCGCATGGCTAAGGGCACCGACCGCCAGACTCCACAAAATCCGCTCCGAACATGCCACACACTGTGACTAATAAACAGTCGGTAGAAATACACAACAAAATTATTGGGATGTCGGTCGCGCCACCCACAACGAACGCATGTCACTGGAGGGCTAACTCGATCATCTGGTTCAACGTTGACGTATCAACAGACCCATTGTTGACCGGGAGAGAACATTCTACGGCCGAATTTGGACCGACTAGATGCAGGGACTCCCTCTTCTCCCTGCAACACTGTCTCCTTTCTCGAGGAAGCCGGGCACCCCGAGATAAGCCACCCCCTTTATGTGTGTCCTTGAACACTGCCAAAGAGGCCGAAGACACCCTCCTTATGTCGCGACAACCGGACGTTGTTACTACCTTCCAAATTCGGACCACGCCTGACAAGCTACTGTCAATGAGAGAAGAGGAAAGAAAATCGGCGGTTGGAAGTCCAAACACAATCAGCACTACAGCTGTATACGGGATTTCAGAACTGTCAAGTGACCACATGGCTAAAGATCGGCACTCCTACCACGTCCAACAATGGCAGTGGCTCTCAACCAAAGTTGGTCTCGACAGTACACCGGCAAACGGAGTCAGAAGACTGCCAAGGTTAGCGCATCTGAGGTCCGCACGCACTCCTAGACCACTCGCCATCCAGTTCGACTCATATGCCTCCCCCACAGATGTTCTACATGCGTCGTATAACGCGAAAGATCGCATGGGTGGTTCAATACGCATGTGTGAAAGTAAGCCCAGACTCATTGGGGCAAGAGGAGAGACTGCAACCACCGAGACCTCTGTGGTCAGTAAATGTCACACAGGCACTGACCAGTGGGTCAGATATATCTGACAAATAAGCTCCCACCGCCACAGCCCCAACCAAGTTGAAAACAAACCGCAAAAACCGGTACGACGCCAGCCCTCGAAGGACTGGCTACACCAGACCCAACCACATAAGCGAGCTGTTCGGTTACCAGTTTGCTAGCTGTTTAACACAAGAGGACGAAATTAAAGTCATTGGTGCACATTCAACACCTACTCACCCGATCAGTACTGTGCTCTTCACTAAACAAGACATTTCTCTAGCTATAGCATGACTTCGAACCTCATACAGAGCTGGATCTGATGGAATTCCAACCATCTTGTTAAAAAGAGGTGGTAAAGATATACCGCTGATTCTCTTGAAGCTCTTTAATATGTCCCTTTCCAGCGGTAATTACCCTGAGAACTGGAAACTGTCATACATATGTCCTAAGCATAAATGTGGACCAACATTTAATATAGAAACATGCCGATCGCTAAACATCACGTCAGTAGCATCCAGGACTATGGAATAAGTGATTGTGAAGGCAGTTGTCAACTACATGGCGACAAACCAATCACTCTCACCAGCACAACGTAGATTCTTGAAAGGCCGGTCATGCACTACCAGCTGTCTTGACTGTCTAGACGACATTACAAGCAGGCGTGATCAAGGCCTATTTGCAACTACCCTTTTCTTGAACTTCAAGCAGGCATTCGATAAGGTGCATCACAAACGCCTGGTCACTAAGTTGCAATCATATGGTTTCTAGGACCCGTTACTGTCCTGGCTTAGAACATCCTTAGAGGGCCGCTTCCAAGTAGTAAAAGTCAGTAGTTGCTACTCCTCCCCTAGACCCATACAAGGTGGCGCCGTCCAGGGTAGTGTGCTGGGACGGATACTCTTCCTAATCTATGTAAACGACATCTACAGTGTTATCCGAAATGGCATACCCTACCTTTCTACAGATGACTTGAAGATAGTCCGCAGCTTTTCTCCTGCAGCACTAACACAGGGTTTCTCTCAAATACAAGAAGATCTGGAGAGAATATTCACATGGAGCGTGACCTAGCAGCTCCCTCTTAACCCAAATAAAGGTGGCATCCTCCATTTCAATAAATCCCACCCAGAAGTAACACTACACTTGGCTGACATGGTACTGCCGGTGTACAACACTGTGAGAGACCTCAGAATCACTTACTCCAGAAGTCTGACTTTTAAGGAGCATGCCGATTCAATAACCCCTATTCTCGCGAACGTACACAGCTAGCCCTCCCTTCTCATCAGGCACACGTACCAAAACGTTTGGGGGCTAAGAGTGGAAGTAGAAGAGATGAAGACGCTACGTCAACGTCAGTACTCTGACGTTATGTTTGTCACCAAACCCTGGCTTTTGCGGGACATCTCCGACGAGGAGACGAATGTCACTGACATGGAACTCTTCCACAGGGACAGAGAGCTCAGAGCAGGGGGGAGTGGCTCTCCACGTAAAAGCAAGAGTGGTCAAGGATACCGCCGTAACCCAGCTCCCGGAATCTCTATGCTGCTACATCACTCTACACTGTACCAAATACCTGCTCGGAGTCATATATCTGCCCCCCACCAGCTCCCATACACATGAGGAAATGGTCATCAGGGCAATCTTAGCGACTTCCTCTGCAAATTACGATTCCGTGATCGTTGCCGGCGACTTTAACAGCCCGTTCATCCTCTTCGAGATGGAAGGGAGTCACATCGGATCCTTCAATCACAAACTGAAGGGTGCAATTAAAACTGCTGGCTTCTCAGGTAAAGTGGGTGACGCCACACGCTTGGGACCTAACGGAAACGCATCGTGCTATGACTGCGTTCTGACAAACGATGAACTTCTCATTGAGGACGTATGCATCTAACCTCCCCTTAGCCTCAGTGACCACTCAGTAATGACCTCCCCCATGATTACTAGGGGGGCCCTGCAACTGGAGGCGCTCAACACCTTCCCTCGCTACAGCAAGGCTAACTACGAAACCATGAGGAACTATCTCGTGATTGCCGAGCTTCTGAGCTCACAATTTCAAGCCCAAACTAGTACTGACACCAAATCCACACCAATTCGTTACGCCACCGACAGGATCATAAATAACGAATACCACTGCCACACCTCAATCACGGGGAAGAAAGGCGTCGCAGAAACTGTCTAGGCTGTATCCAGGCAAGTCCCCTGGCTGCGATAGCCTAAAGGCGTTAATCCTAAATTCTGCACTGAGGTACTCGCAAAACCAATCTGCAACCTCTTCAGGCACTCGATAGATTCCTACAAGCTCCCTAAAGAATGGGAGCGCACCATCTTGTCGCTCGTCTTCAAGGGAGAGGACAGAAAAAGCCCGGACAGCTACAGGCCGTTTGCTCTACTCCCTATTGTATCTAGTTGTTGGAAAGCCTGGTAGATGACACTATCCGGGAATTCCTCAATAGGGAAAACACTGTCCGTACTGTTCAGCATGGCTTTCGGAGTGGTCGAGGATCACCTAGAAGGGAGGCTGTCCTGCACCGAATTGAACAGAATGAGGTCAGAGTGGAGACCATCGACGTCATTGGTATCCCAAGGAGCAATCCTACGACCACTTCTGTTCCTCCCGTCTGTCAGTCATCTGCCCCACAAAATCTCGTCACCCATCCTTCTCTTCGCTGGCGACATTAAAGTGTAGGGGTTGGTGGACGAAGAAGCTGACTGCACAGCGCTACAAAAGAATTTGCAGCAACACGAATGCTGGTCGTTGGAAAATGGCTTGAGCTTCAACCTGGAAAAGTGCAAAGTAATGTGCATCAGTAAATATGAGGCAAGTACGACCGACTTCCAGTACGTGCTGGGAAACTGTGCCATCACCAGAGTGTCCATGGAGAAAGATTCGGGGCTCGACTTCTCCGACACCTTGAACACCGGCTCAAACTACAAAGGTATGGCAACCAGAGAGAATGACATTGTGCACCTTCTGTGTAGACAGCTTGCCTCCCTCGCTCCGGAACTCTCCCCCCTGGTTTCAAGCCCTACGTGCGGCCGCATCTAGAGGTCTTCAATACAGTGGGCCCCCCAACACTCAAGAAAGACCCTAATCTCTTTGGAAAAGTACAAAGAACCGCAGCCAAATCAGCTGCGGGGCTAAGGAAAGAGGTATCCTGAAAGCCTTAAGCACCTGGACCTATTTACTTTGGGTTGTCACAGGAAGGTGGCTGACCTTATTATGGCCTACAAGGCCGCCCACCAGGCAGACCACGCAAACAAATACATTTTGCCTACGACCCAGAGGTCTTCGCTAGGAAACCCAATTAAGATATTGCACCGGAGGGCCAATGCCATACTCCGGTTCAAATTTTACTCCCCGGGAGTATGCGCTTTGTGAAACGCCTTACCGCGATATATCGTTAAAGCCGACTCAGTTGACCCATTTTATGGATGGTTAGACAGTTTCGTCGGCTCGCATGGTCTACCACGGACGTACTCAAGTAGTCAGTAGCCTCACTAGCCCATCCTCAACTCCCCTACCTAACACTCACTATCTCGATCTTTAATGCACCCACATAACCTACTAATTCTTCTGTAGGAACTAAACCAACGCTATCCATTTCTACCATTCTGGCGACTTCCACATACTCTTCTCTTTCTTTTACTCCTCTTCTTTACCCCCTTCTTTTTCCTTTTCTTTCTTCTCCTTTATCCCTTCCCTATTTTTCCTTTTTTCTTCTTCATTCTTTTCACTTTTTACCACTATCCCACTATTCTCTTTCAGGTACCTGCAAAGACAGGAGTCGCGACAGTCCCCTAACCTTCCCAGCAACCTGTAGCTCTCCAACCACACAATAAATTACAACTTCTCCACAAAACATCCACCTCACAGAAGTTGAAAGCAGGAAAGCAGTGGGTATTTCCTCATCAACTGGAGAAGCGAACCGAGAAACTCGAACCAAGCCCTAAGAACTAGATGCGAGAGATCAAAAACTATCAGTTTTCTACGTTCGAGCTATCAATACTGGATTTTAGGTATTGGAACCTCTAATCTCACTCGCGCGAAGTCTGATATTGAAGCAACATCGCATTTTCTTTCTAGTTCTATGGTTTATCTTCTTATTGGTTGATTAACGTGCGCTTTTGTGTTGATGTAGTGAATTTTAATACTTGAAATATGGTTGAATAATCAACTTATGCGCATGTTTTTATTTCAGTTCAACCAAACCTTGCCATATATGTTCATTGCACATGCTTTTCTGTATTTACTGTATTTATCTTAATAAAGTTGATCAATCAGCGTAAAACTGACCCGCTACTTATTCTCATGTTACTCATGGGTGCACTTTTATGCTGAACATGGCGGAAGTTTCCAGTCAATAATTTGCCGGGGAAACGCGTGGACATTTTAAGGACAGGAGGTAAATCGGAGGAAACGCGGTACAAGCAGAGAAAAAAGTGGAACATTCCGTGGGCAAACGTAGGGCAGAATGTGGGGCGAGGAAACTCGTGGAAATATTGAGAAATTGCGAGTCTTGCTTCTAGTTTTCATTGTAGTTTTTAACATGCCCCACTGTTTTCCCCCACAAAATTGTTGACTAGGTTCATGTGCTTTAACCAATCAGTCTAGGGGGTAATCACCTGCTAGCTCAGAAATGATGCAAGCAGCACATTGATGATGCAGAAATTGCTCAGGAGCTACGGAATTGGTTTACAAATAAATGCCGAAATGCACACACTTAGTCCTCGGACCACTGTGAACAATGTATTTTCCCGCCAAAAAAATGCTGTAAAAGTGCTTAAAAAAATGAACGTAAATAGAGTGTGAGAAATAATTCAGTTTTGAATGTGGATAAGTGACGTTTAGTCCAATTTTCTAACATACTTTCCGCAGTTACCACATTGTTTGCTCATGCATGCTAAATTACAATTCTTTCGCTGTATTATTTGCATACCCGATTGATAGCTGCTACCTTGACGTGGTGGTTGGGCTTGCATATCACAATGAACCAACGAGCTATGCTGGTGGAACACTTGTTCCCTCGAGGTCTTACCGTACCAGAAAGGTCTGTTGGATAGTGGTTCGACAAAAAGCAGTTACCGTTGTGGTGTAAATTATTACACTCTGATGGAGGGTCTGAAGGCGAAGTCGTACTGCTGCTATCTGGATGGGATGCGACAGCAGTAAGGTGTCTCCCTTGGATGATCAGCAGTGCCATGCTGATGCTGCCTTCTCAGTGAAAGGGAGGGGGGCGTCTTAGAAAAGGTCGGCCCCAAAAATGACACCCCATCATACCCCACGGTCTGCCGGGCCGGTGGTGTTGGTTCATTTGTCGTATCTTTTCAAACATCCGGCCCCAAAAATACAAAAGTTCAAAATAATCATACACAAAAGGCTTCATGTGACAGGCCTCAAGCAGATGTCCGATGGGCTGTGTGGTCACACAAATCTCTTCCAGGTACCTTAAGAAGAAATAGCCTTCCACGGTGTGGGCAGCTAGGAAGTGTCAACCGTCCTCACAACTCTGTCAGCACTCAAGTTCCCTCAGACTGCTATCCACCTCCCTCATCATTACCTTCTAATCTTCTTTCACTTCTCTCAATTGATGATACTACACCACCTTCAATTTCTCCTAGCTCTACAGCCTTCGACAACGACCTGAGTCCACAGAACAGCATCCTTGGTCTCCTTAAACCATGCTCCGAATTACATATTAGAGCCTTCAATGTCCGTACTCTCCGTCAAAACTGGTCAACAGGCTTCGTTGGCAAAGACTCTAACAACTCGGGGCATGGATGTGTGCTGTGTTTGTGAGACACGCATACAGGACCGAAGTGAGGTTGTTCACCTGAGGTCTTCGCAGCTCTTTACTCGAACACTTTTGGGCGTGTTAGAAACTATCGTGAGACATCAGGGGAGCTGTACTGGTCGAGTGGTGTTTGTTAAAGCTGCGCACTGTCTCCATTCTTATTCACACAGTGTTGACCGTAGTAGGTTCAGACTGGAGAAAGGCTTGAGGTGACCAGACTAAAACATGGCACCAATGTGTAAAGTCTTTGACTGTTGGTTTAAGCCATGTAAAGGGGGGGGGGAGCGATGCAGACTAGTCGGTTAGGGTCCGCGGAACAAGACGGACCAGTAGTTGGAGACTCGAGGTGATGTGGCTGAGAACTGATGTCAGTGGCGCAGATGCATACACACATTACCCTCATCTTAACGACGCTATACTAAATCTCACCATTTTCTCATTCTCCCTTTCTCTCTTTTCGTACTTGATATTTCTTTTGACTGTATTCTCTTATCTTCATCTTGCACCTCACTGCCTTTTTACTTTATGTGGTGATATGAGGTGTGGCAACTGGGACCGTTGCGCAGTAATGCCTGGTCCTAGTTTGATATTGGTGGTTATTTGCATATTGTATTACGTGGGTTATTTCTGCAATAGGTATTTATTCCAGGACCACTATGAAGTTTCCAGGGAGCTAGCTGTGGTCACTCTACATGATTCGTGACCATGTTGCTGTAAAAACCTATGGATTCTCTCCCAAGAAACTTTGAGGTCCAAGTTGCCACATCTTATCAACATACTAGACAACGCGATCGGAGAAATTAGAGTAAAAGTAGCGTAATCGAAAGCTATGAACATTGAGATTGAATAATATAGGGTACGAGGCAAGTACCGAAATTTGGTATGACGATTAAGGTGAAGATATGACGTGATTTTATCTATGGTACTGTTATTCATTCTGAGCCTAATCATTTAAAGACTCCAATAATCTATGGGAGTTTACTTATAAATCTATAACTGGAACCCAGCAGGGCTCAACAAGGATCAGAGACTTCATTAACTGATGTGAAGTTTTAGTTTGGCCCTCAATATTTTTCAACTTCACACTTTCAGCCTCTAGTTTGGCTAGTCTGGGCAAACGGTCGCTGGATATACGTAACGCATATTCTAGCTACCTTAGTCTATGAAGGTATACGACCTCATTGGCTGACCTTCTTACGTGTATTACTTGCGTTATTGATAAGAAATAAATTTATTATAACGTGAAAACCTGTTCTTTTTATCAGTAGCGTGCTCAGTAATACTGCTGTCTCGTACTCCTCGTTTGCTTTTCTCCAATCAGGTAGTAAGCTAGAATCAAATTTTTAATTCGTATACTGATGCATGGTAGTATTACTTTTGATGTTTCTGTACTAAGATACTTTTAATATACCTTTTAGGCCAAAAGTGCTCAGAGATTCTTAGACGTTTATTCCTTTAATTAGTTTTTGAACTAAATTTAATCCTCAAGATTTGCATATTTTTAATTTACTTGTCTTTTGGATATTTCCAGACGTTGATGTTTTCTGTGACTTCAAAAGCTATACAAAAGGTACTTTCAACTGGAAATGTTTACCTATCAAGGCATTTTTTGTCCACTTCGATCAATCTGTTGAAAAAAAAAATCTGGCCCACCGACGAGCAAAGGAGACTCTTTAATATCTCGAATAACCGGCCACCAAAAAGATCTGTGGGATTTATATAATGAAGTGGTTTATCCACCTCTGCCCACAGTTTCAACAATCAACAATCATAATTCAGATAACTTGCGACCTGGTGAAGTTACGCACCGAAGAGAAGATATTTTATACAGTCAGAAGAAACTGTGGTTTCTAGCACATTTAGTATGTTAATAATTCTATTCATGTAATTGTTTTATGATAACACCATACTAATCATTACTAGTCGCTTAGGATCATCTTAATTTCTGATCCATCGCTTAGGAGTGACTGGTATTAAATGCATGGCATTGCGTAGTATGCAATTTAATGTATTAGACAATGTAATCCATCATTAGAAATGATAACTGGCAGCCAACAGACGTAACTGCTAAATCCAGAGTATTCATCAGTCTGTCGATCACTTGTGCAGCATCACTACTATTTTAAGTGGCAATACACTACCATCCACCACTTTACTTATATTTATGACCAATCGGTAAAAAGCCATAAACCTCGTTAGTACTCAGAAAAGCATTTCTGCAACTCAGTGATTTAAAACTACAATACTCAGTGCCGAACTACGAAATGTTGTTGATATTTTATCACCTTAGCACTGTTTCATGTGGCTAATTCATTTTAACAGGCAGTTAAGTGTAATCTGAAAGCTTCTGACTGGCACTGACTTACCCAGTTTTGAATGTACTCGTGGACATCAATCTTTTTAAGGTTACGGTTACTCCTCATTGGTGAATACCTACAGCCACAAAACCTAAGCTCAGGGATTTCTGCTAAACAACAGGCGCAAAACTGAGGAACTACTGGTAGTAATGTTGTTATTTGTGGATGTTTATAAAAATGTTTGTTGGTGCATTTATTTTTTTCCCTTCACAACGGAGGTGTGTTTAAGCGAAGGAAATAAAAATATTTGGATAAAATAATTGCCTCCAAGGTAGTATTCATCACGGACTAACATCAGTCGGAGAATCAGGTATTCCAATTTCTTGACTCACTGATAGCTTCGACCTTCACGTGGTGGTTAGGTTTGCACATAATAACCCGAAGAGCTATACTAGCTGCAATGAGTTCAACCATGCTAGAAATGTCTCTTGATTATCGTCAAGACAAAAAACAGTTACCATCATAGTGTAAATGACTTGCGGTATGGTGGGGGTCTGACAATAAAGCAGTACTGTTGTCTGGGCGAAATGTGACACCAGTAGGGCATTTCCCACGAGTGATCAGCAACTTATGCCGATGTTACCTTCTTTATTAAGACTGAGAAGGTAAAAAAGGTCAACCCCAAAGATAAGATGCTCCTCCTTGCCATGTGATTTCCCCAGTATCAAGGGCATAGGTTTTTATTTTCCGAGGGTTCAAAAATCAAATCTCAACCCCAACTCCTGGTTGGGCCACGGGTAACTGGCCTCCAGCAGGTGTCACTTGGGCTTTGTGGTCACGCAAACAAATCCATTTTATTCTTTAGGTATCTTGCAGAAACAAATTGCACGGTGTGAGGATCTGTTGAGTATCAATCTCCCGCACGCTGCAGACAGCACACAAAAACCCAACTAACCAAAATCTACCCTCCTCACCCATGTGTCCTCTCTTACCTTACATTCATGATGTCGAAACTAAGCCCCTTACAGCCTCCTCAAATCCCCAACTTGCTACCATTGCTATGGGTCGTAGCTAGCTAAACACCATAACCATTCTTTTAAAACCAACTACGGATTCTTCATTAAAGCTTATAACGTAATTACCCAATGTCAAAGCAGGTGTCTCTTCCTAAAAGGGGAATGTTGAGCCATGGTTGTACGCAGCGTTCCCAGGGTGCGCATACAAGACCCAAGTATGGTTATTCACTCGGACGCACTCGTAGATATATCATTGACTTGCAGAGAAAGCACATCTCCACTGGGTGCCAGTCAATAACTGTCTCCTACTGTCCAACTGAATCAATCTCTAAGAACTAGAAAAGACGACACATCGATGTTTATTTGTTGTCTCTGCCTACGCCCCATTGATCGCAGTTTCGTTAGAAATGAGGGATGAGTTCTACAAAGGGCTGTCAAATTTGCTACTTAAAGCAAGAAGTTTAGATATAGTCATTAGTAGGCGACATCTACGCCTACGACATCCACGCACCAATCGGTAAGCCTTCTTAGGGAGTATCTAAAGCATTCGATACTAACAAAACAACTAAGGTGATCATCTCTTACAACTTTCTCCTGCAAACACTTGTTTCTGGCCAGAACTAACTTCGAGCCGAAGTTCAGACACCGTTTCACTTGGCATCTGTCGACATTGAAACAAAGGTCGGCACACAGATCATATTTCTGTTCTAGGGTTTCGGTGCAAAATTGTTGCTCTTTCAGCAGTACCTACTTGGGGTAAGATCACAAGTTAGTGCGAGCATGTAGACGTTCCGGCTAACTGTGACCACTACAAGGAGAGAAACAACCGATCGACTACAAGACTTCATAATGACTGCGAGCAGTGGTACGTGACGGAAATGAAGAGATGCTGGAGGCATCAGTAATCGGTAACACTCAACAATTATTTTGGCTTATTAGAGAAACTAGCAAAAATGATATGATGGTAACTGAGATCATCACTAACAAAAATGCCATTGGTAACGTCTTAGAACAGAAAGCTATTACATTAAACGCAACACTGAAAACCAGTTCGAATGGTCTACAGTCACACTTAGTTCGCATAAACTTTCCCAACCACTCTGGTGAATCCGCAAAATTCATCCTTTAAATTTCTGAAGGTTTGGTAGCTTTCTCTCGCGGTCTTACAGGTGTAGGCATAGCACTAAGCACTAGGGCAGGAAACTCACTACTAGACTGGATCCCAGTTGATAGTCGCCTCTGCGCTATCCGACTGAATGGCACAGTGAGAACTAAAAGGAATGGTGAAACTCGCCAGTATCTTTTTGTAATCTCTGCTTATGCACCCACTGACTGCAGTTCGGAAGCAGTGAAGTATAAGTTCTACCGAAAACTGCCTAGTCTCCTTCTGAAAGCGAAACGCTTAGATGTGGTCGTTGTTGCAGGTGACTTCAATGCACAGGTGGGTAGACTGAGGGAGTCAGAAAGGCACTTAGGTGTCACTTTCGGAATCCCGACTGAACGAACAGATAACGGTGATCGCCTACTACATCTGTGCTCAGACAACCGCTTGTTTTTAGCTAGCACAAATTTCAGACATAAAGAAAGACACTGTCTAACGTGGCGTCCACCGAGCTCAACTCAGCGACGGACATAGATAGACCACATTGCTACTAGTCATCGCTGGAGAGGATCGGTGAAAGACTTCCGATTTTTCTGGACAGCGATCACGTGTTGGTCCGAGTGCGTATATGCCTGCGTCTCAATGGACGTAAGGAAAATTTGGCAACGAAACCACTTCGAGTGCTCCTGGACAACGAAAACACCAAAGCCATGTTCATTGAGAAGTTGGCTAGGCAGTTACCGAAGCAGAAGACCATCACTCATCCAGAAGAAGCTTGGTGCCATCTCCAGTCTGCTGTAAAAACAGCGCTGAAGACCGTAGCCGACTCTGAAGTAGTGGCTAAAAAGAGCCAGTGGATATCAGCAGCTTCTTCCGAACTAATGGATGCACATGAACGCATTCCTACAGGCTCTGAGTACAATGAAGAGGGAGTGCAACTGAAAAGTAGATTGAGAAAAAGTCTATGGAATGACTGCGAACAGTGGTGGGCAGCGAAGGCTAAAGAGATGGAAAAGGCAGCGGCAATTGGTGACAGTAGATAGTTATTTAGACTTATTAAAGAGACTGGGGGGAAGAGGTCAACAACAGTTAGTGAGGCTATATCAAAGAAGGGTGGATCTGCGATTGACTCGCAGGGGAGATGACTGGAACGATGAGCAGAACAATTCAAGGAACAGTTTACCTGGCCCCCAGTCACCATTGCGTTGCCTGTTATCCAGTCGGATCCTGAATGGAACATTGAGATAGGCCCCCCAACACTAGCAGAAGTCGAGAAAGCAGTAGACAACCTGAAACTAGGAGGGACGGCAGGACCAGACGGGCTTACTCCAGAGGTATACAAGGATGGTGGTAAAATGCTCTTAGTCAAGTTAACGGAAGTGTTAACCAGTATATGGGAATCAAATACGATCCCCTCTGACTGGTCTAAGTCACTAATTATTCCAGTCTTTAAGAAAAACGAGAAGTCCTCTTGTGATAAGCACATATGAATCAGCCTGACGAGCATACTGTCCAAGATCCTAGGTTCTATAATTCTCCGACGCTTGAGTGGAGCTTGGGAACAGCAAGCCCGAGAAAACCAGGCAGGCAGGCTTTAGACCCGGCCGCGGGTGTGTCGACCAAATATTCACACTGCGCTAGGTCCTGGAACACAGGCACACTTACCGACACCCAACGATAGCTGTATTTCTCGACCTGAAGGCGGCATTCAACTCCGTTGATCGAGAAGTCCTATGACAATGTCCCTCACTGAAAGGCGTGTTGAGTAAGTACATCACCTTATTGAAAGCTCGGCTCTCTACTCGAACACTTGTTGGCGTGTTAGAGCCTGTGGTGAGATGTCTGGGGAGCTATGCTCATCGAGTGGTGTCCGTTAAGGGTGCCCACTGTCTCCATTCTTGTTCAATTTTATCATAGATATTCTTATGGAGGTCTCCCTCTCGTCACCTGACCTAATCGCAGGAGAATTTCCGTTAGACTTAGAATGTGCAGATGATATAGTCGTGTTAGGTGAAGACGCTGACAAGATGCAGAGTCTGCTGAACACTTTGAGTGGGAATTCGAGAATGATTGGGATGCGTTTCTCACCACCGAAATGCAAATTGTTGCTCCAGGATTGGTCTTCAACTTTGCCACGGCTAATAACAAAGAGTGTAGTGATTGAGTGTGTCGACCACTTCACTTACCTGGGAAGTAGGATCAACCCTGGTGGCTCAGTGACCGATGAAATCTTTGCATGGATACAAAAGGCTCGGCTAGCTTTCGCCAACTTAGGCCACCTATGGTGCCACCATGATATCCGATTGTCTATTAAGAGTCGCGTGTACTGCACAGCAGTCCGGTCTGTTCTACTGTATGGCTGTGAAACATGGGCATTGAAGGTGGAAGACATGAGAAGGCTTCAGGTGTTTGACCACTGCTGCCTTCGTAGTATAGACCATATTCCGTGGTGTCGCCACGTGAGTAACGCAGGCGTCCGGTGTAGAGTTTTAAGGAGTAGAGGCAAATTAGTTGACACGGTCATGAACCTTCATCGACTGAGATGGCTGACTGGGACACGTAGTCCGTATGCCTAGTCACCGTCTTCCTCGTCACACAATGTTGGTTGAAGTAGGTGCAGGCTGGAAAAAGGCCTGAGGTGGCCAAACTGAAACATGGCACCAATGTATGGAGTCGTTGACTGTTGGTTTAAGCCATGTGAAGGGGGGGGGAGCGATGCAGACTAGTCGGTTAGGGTCCGCGGAACAAGACGGACCAGTAGTTGGAGACTCGAGGTGATGTGGCTGAGAACTGATGTCAGTGGCGCAGATGCATACACACATTACCCTCATCTTAACGACGCTATACTAAATCTCACCATTTTCTCATTCTCCCTTTCTCTCTTTTCGTACTTGATATTTCTTTTGACTGTATTCTCTTATCTTCATCTTGCACCTCACTGCCTTTTTACTTTATGTGGTGATATGAGGTGTGGCAACTGGGACCGTTGCACAGTAATTTCTGGTAATATGTTGATATTTATGATGATGATGATGACAAGCTAATTTGGTTTCCTTATTTAGTATGAAAGCTTAATTGTTTTAGTACTTAGGCGCTAATCGAGATCTTCTTTTACAAGTTGGAGAATGATTTTAATGAAAGTAAGTTTTTAAAAGATTCAGAAGGTTGACATTTACTTATCGCGTTGGAGATGATGTCGGAAAGAACGAAAACGTGAACCAAGTAACCTGACCCTGAATGCTTGAACTTTGTGTTAGTTGCATTCGTTGCAGGTTACTGCTATTTGATTAGTTGTTTGATAACAGAGGAAATGCACGTTTGTGTATGAGAATGAAGGGATGCTGTCTTTTTGACATCGTTGAGACCTTGCTAGAGATACCAGAAATAACGGGTTTGGAGATGTTTCTATAAGTTTAGTAATACGAAAATAAAATGAACTGGGGTAGTTAATTAACGGTAAATATCGGTAAAAATACCTTCACGTGTGGCATGTTATTAGTGATAGAATTACAGAGAAGTGACTATACTGCGCAGGTTTGCCTGTGTAAAAAGGCTTTTAAGATATGTACAACGTCCTCAGCGATGCGCTTTTCTGACAGAAAAATGTAGACAACAATCTGAATGTCTATGAGTAGAGTTCTAGATCACTGGGTCACTATTTCACAGTCTGATTACTAATAGTAAGCGGTTGTCGATAGAGATCGCTATGAGAATATTTGAATAAAGCACTAACGTTTTAAAGGTTTTTCGAGGTGTAAACAAAGTAAACATTTGCAACTCAGAAGATAAACTGGCAACCTCTTAGAATCTGCCGAATCCCCCTTACTTCATTTATAGTAATATCCTTTTTCTCCCTGTACCCAATTGTTCCCTGATTTTCGGGTTATAGATTCGTGGGCGATCAGTGGATGATGCTTTTGCTCAGTTGGGATTTCGTCCTGAAAAAGGAGCTAGAATTCTTGAAGAGGTAGATTTCCTAACTTTAAAGTACTATTCATTTTTCAGTGAAAATGTTTTGAATATAAGGGTAGAATTCGATCCTGTGATGAGTTATAACTCCACTTTAGTTGGTTTTTTAGGTGTATCATACGGTGATGTACTGTGATATATCTAAGGAACCAGCTAAGATGGAGTAAATTCGTTTTATTGATTGAAGTGGAGTATGATTATTGGTTTATTTTATTTTTTTATTTCTACAAATTTTCATTCCATTTAAATTTATTTATTTAAAGGAATTTTTCTGAACTAGTTGCATAAATACATTCTTTGGTAGCACAAGCAGAAGAGACGGACAGAAAATTCAAACTTTTTCCCAATACCTTCAAAACACCAAATACACATCACTGAAGGATGTTTGACGATGTAGAAACCTTTTAATCTCAACCTGAATGTAGTCACAGCTTCATTGTAAAATAATTGATAGCCATATGTTTCTTATAATTACTAGTAACACACACACACATCAACAGAGATGTAGAGGTTATATGCTAGGGAGTGGGTCTCACTTATTGTATGAGAGCTGTGACGTTACTCGACTGTTCGAACTTATCTGATTAGAGTGAGGTTTGAATCTATGAACCACTGATTGTAAGCCGGATGCAACACAGCCGCAACATCGTCTGACAGTTGTTTCGTGTGTCTATCATATCATCGTAGCATTTTTAGCATGTCTAACAATCAGGGGAGGGAAGTCGAGTTAACCAACATTTCCCCTAGAACTGATGTAGTCCTAGTCAAGTCATTGCTTTTTGATTGATTCAAATATTATTTTTAATCAGTAGACATTTGTGTACTAGTAGCCATACCAGCATTTTACATCAGTCTATAAAAGCAGTTTACTGTTGACATGCTCTGTTTAGGGAATTGTTGACTTCCACAAAGGTTTTTGAATCATTGACTTTGCCGATTTATCCAATCAAGTGCTTACACACAGCCATGTGACCATCCAGGAATTTCTTAATAGATCTGATTGGATGTGAATGTATTTGGCGATTTCTGGCTTCTTTAGACATCTCGAGAAAGTATACAGCTCATCATAGTAGTCTTACGGTTGAAGCTTTTTCTTTAGTTGTATAATATGTCTTAAATGGTGCAATGCTTCGTTGAATAATGCGGCCTTTTAGTTCATTTGGCGTGGTGTATACTGCATATTGCGCTGAAGTTAATCAGCATTGTATCATTAATTGTCATTCTGAAATACTTTTTTTGTTCCAGGTGTTGGAGGAGGCAATAGAATCTGCAGTGAAAGAACATGATTTTGAATTCTGTACAAAAATTTGGATAGGTAATTCATTCAATAAAATTTTCATCATTATTATCCCAACTCTTTACACTATTTCTGTACGGTTATTTTAAAATAACATTTTCATTAAAGCAGTAGACTGAAAAAATCCTAGATAAATAAACCACCAAGTATAAATGCTCCCGTAGCTAAATGAATTAATTACTTGCTTTGGTCTAAACGCTATAGTGAAATTATTAACCTGTTTAGAAAAATTACAGTTTGAAAGCTAGTGTAGATACAATATACAACTGAGCAATCACATGCAATTTCAAAGTCCACATTTACTGCATCAGATGCTGGTGTAGTCAGCGTTGCTGATCAGAATGGATATAAGTAGTATGTGTTGAGAGGGCGACAGAAATCAGAGGGAATTACCAGCAATGGGTAAAGATTCTACCCAGAGGAACACAACAGACAATGCGGGTGTATTAAGAGCAAATCAAGATAGAAGCAGAAGATGAAATGAAGGACATTATCCAACTGACTGTCTTAGTTAGTGCAAGGTGTACCATATTTGATGACTACTGTACTAGGAATTATCAATGAAGGGTCACTAAATATACAATATTTTATATAAACGTTGATGGTTTAAAGCTTTTTCATTATCTTGACATCATTATCCATCCATTAGCTACTGGAATATTTGATTGGCATTCTACCAGCTGGGCTACTACACGTAACAAGGTTTCGATATTAATTCAACCGTCAAGTTGTAAAAGAGTAGGGTCACTACTTCAGAGGAGAAGTTGACTCAAAGTCATATGCGACCCACGTTTTCTGTCAAATTCAGTCCTCATTTCTGATTTCTAATTTCTATTATTAAGTGTAGATGTCACTATAATGTATTTTGAGCACAATAGGTAGCTAACCTTTCACATGTATTATTAAACCCAACCAGTTGTGGCAGTGATGTGAAATTTGGATTTTTCAAAGTTGCTTAGTACTGTTTATGTTGGAGATGGATTTAAAGCATATGATCGTAGAATGTTAGACAAAATAATCACCATACTATGCTTGAACTATATCAAGTATATTATATCATATTTAGCCACCCCAAATACCGTAGTAGAGTCAAGGGTGGTTTGCATTCGCTTATCTTCTGAAAGTACTTTCATACATCACTGATTCATATTCTGTCACTGCTGTTATATAATAGAGGTAATTCCGAAAATGTGGAAGAAACGAGGTGAATTGCTCGGTGATTATCTCCGGGTTGATGCATTTAAGCGGGTTCACTTGGGTGAGGTTGGTAATCTCTGATTTTACACCGGTGACGCATATAGACTACAGGATTGAGAATCAACGAAAAGCATTGGAACCTACTTTGGTTACTGACAAATATTGGGATGTAGCATCTGATGTTGCTCCACTGCCTCTTTGATCAGACTTGCAGAATGGTTGTTCAAGACAACCTCTTACTTCGATGTGACCATCTAGCCATTGTCTTAGCCTTGCAATGAAATGCAACACATTAGTTTTTACCCATGTACCGGGTTTGTGTTCAAATTAAATGTATTTTTTAATAACCTTGAATTCTGAAAATATTTATTAAAATGTCTAATGATGTGTTGCATAGACTGGATTGCTTCGATCACTTATAAATGGAAAACGAAATTTAATAAATTGTGACTTCAATTTAGATATTGAAAGGTGTATGGTTCATAAGTAAGCTACCCTGCCCTGTGCATTTCTTTCTCACCACCTGGAAACATTGTACAATGTTATAGAGATGTGATTTATTGGATTAGATACTCCAAATGCAATCAATCTTGGGTTCAAGTCCTGCTGCACCTATTTTGCCCTAGGCAACGTGATATTACCAATAGCTCCTACACAAAAAGTTTGGCTTATAACTTAGTACATAAACCCGTACAGGGTTCAGTTGTATTCATTTATTGTACAAAATTGCCTTTGATGTGACACATCTATCGTTTATTGGGTTTTTTTTTATCATAGCTACACTTTTTCATTTCAGAGTCAGTGCGCATCTCACGTGGTCGAATGGTTCCTCGTTTGTATAAGGGGTTGAGAAGTGTAGCATATGCAATAAACTTCCATTACACAAATTTATACATGCGTTTAAGAGAAGGTGATCCTCCGAAAATGTACCATCCAAGTCAAGTCAAGAATGTATGGACTCCTTCTGCAACTTGTCCACCAGAGGGCAGAAATTGGGGTTCAACGCGAGAGATGGTACATCGTGAGATCGAAAGACTGCGTAGTCGACGCATAAAAGGCGAATTGTAATTAGTTCCGAATCTTCTATCAAAATATGCCGATCCATAAAACTATTCACTCGTGCAAATTTACACATCATTCACCGTTCGAGCTCAGGAAATATGAGTGTATTCTAAGAGTTCTGTACTGCTCAGAACTGTTAGTGAAAATTAGATATCAAGTTCATTCTTGAGATGCCGCCAACTGTTTTCACTGTAAACTTATGCTTGTAAATAAAATTATTTTTTAGGAGGAAAATCAGTTGACTTAGTGTCATAAAGAAGGTTACTTAGTAAATCGGGAATCGTTTATAGCTCAATTGTCAAGATACGTGGACTCCAGTTATTATTGATTTCTATTTATTTCACTTGCTTTAGTCTAAACGCTATAGTGAAATTATTAACCTGTTTAGAAAAATTACAGTTTGAAAGCTAGTGTAGATACAATATACAACTGAGCAATCACATGCAATTTCAAAGTCCACATTTACTGCATCAGATGCTGGTGTAGTCAGCGTTGCTGATCAGAATGGATATAAGTAGTATGTGTTGAGAGGGCGACAGAAATCAGAGGGAATTACCAGCAATGGGTAAAGATTCTACCCAGAGGAACACAACAGACAATGCGGGTGTATTAAGAGCAAATCAAGATAGAAGCAGAAGATGAAATGAAGGACATTATCCAACTGACTGTCTTAGTTAGTGCAAGGTGTACCATATTTGATGACTACTTTACAAGAGGTCAATAATAAACATTCCTTTCTTCATCTCCGTTTTCATTTTGTATACTCGTACCAAGGCAATTGCCTGACTGTCTAAATCGTAGTAGCTGAAAGAATGACCTTATCAATCTGTACTTAAACATGGAGTATGTAAAGCAACAGCGGCTCCTTTGCATTAATACCAGTATCGTTTGCACGCAGTTTCGTGCATAAAGGTACAGTATGATTTTTAGTAGCGTTTATTAATATTATTGTAATCTGTAAGCTTTTTTAGGTGTGGCATATTGACTTCAAAGCAGTCGGTCCTGGTTTATAACTTCTGCCCACTTTTTATACCTCTGTCTCTTATTAATTTTCCAAATCACTTGGCTTTTCAAATTGATCTATAACGCTAACCTTGTACGAGATTAGTCTCATATATAGACCACGTCTCATATGCACATTTCACTCACACAACGTGACTTTGACTACCTCAAATAATAGAACACAAGGTGGGATGCTTACTGTCGCAGTTTGAGTCAACTATATATATAAATGAAATAATTGTCCACTACGTATTATAATTCATAAATATGAAATAACTGACGTCTTGCATATTCAATTGAATAATATACAATAATTGGTTTCATTCAGCATGCAACTATTTCAGAACTATAGGTCGTCCATAAATGAATGATGGGTTAGTAAAGTTCTCCTGAGGCAAGTTATATTACAGTACTACAAAATAAGCATTGAATAAAGCGTCTTTTAAAATCAATAAAATAATGACTGGTTGCGCTTTTCGGAGACCTATCTTTTCCCTTTTTCAGTCGATGTAGAAATTTTGGTTCGGTAATCGACTGTTATTTTAGATCTTCATACACTAAGTGTGACGCATGTTCTAGTACATAAACATGTTGAGTTACATTTTCAGTTTATGCAAATATAATGGCATGATATTTTTATTTCACGCATTTATAGCAAATAAAGTTGGTAATTTTTAAGGTGAGACCATCCACCTAAAAGAGTATCACAATAGCCAAAACGACATATCACTCACCAAATGATTTCCAGTTGATGAGTCTGTGGTGCACCTTCCTGGCACCAAAATGCAGCTAGGGCTAAAATAAACATTGAATCGAGCAAATAAACGTCCAGGTCGCCTCCGGATGCTGAAGGTGTTTTAAGTTTTGTTTTAATTAGCATACATCCGAGTAAGCTTCCACGCTATTTTGCGCTCCATTTGTGCTGGTTAATATGCACATAGAGACCCTAGTTCAGCTATTATAGCCAGTTAAGTTGAATAAACTTTTTCCCTATTAATTACTACTACATTTATTCTAATTAAATATATTGCTTCTTTGAATATATTCCTGAATACCAATCCTTTTGATTTGTGTTTCGTTGCTAGTACTTACACGTTAGGTAAGGTACTGATTAAGCAGGTACCAGAAGGTATCGAGTTAAGTAGGGTTGATCAGACGTTACGTAATCGTAACACAACCAGCACTTCTACAACTCCTCCAGAGTTTTTAGTCACTACCTAATGTTCTCGTGACAAACTGTCGGTGTTAAGCATTTGTTGTTAGATAGTTATAGTAATTTATCGATGGATTTATTTTATTATATCTCTTCGCGTACTCTGGATATAGTGTTTACCGAGCTAACTCTTCATTTCGTCCCATAACGTTAACGAATCCTACCGGTCATTTCCTGTATAGTCATCTTCATAATCATGAAGTAATGCTTGTACGTGCATTTTTTGGAAATTACCAATAATCATTTTATTCAGTTAGTGTGTTCACCTTGGTTCAGTTTTTTTACGCAAACATCTTTGTTACCGTCATGTCTCTTGAAGATTTTAACTACCTGCGTGGAAAGCAATATGAACATCCAGACCATAAAAATGTATCAGAAGGCATTCCAGCAAAGGAAATTTCCATTCCGACGAATCATTTTTAAAAGCTGTAAATTCGCATTTGTACTTATAACGAGATAATGTCCATAAACGGCTATTAGGTCAAAACAAGGCAGTACGAATTGCTTCATAGCTAATCTCGAGAACATTAAATTACATCTGTTAGTCAGCCAGTTTCATCTATATAAACAATGTATGAATTATACTTTATCGTCTGTAGTGAGGATAATAACCTTAAAGCCGTACTTCAGAAGCTCAGTGACTTTTAAGTCAATTAACTGCACGATGAAAACTAAGAATCTCACTCCTTGGACGTTCTGTATGAAAGAAGACTTGATGGTTCCCTAAGAAGATAGGTTTGCAAGAAACAAATCTGAGATGGACAGTACAACAATTTTTAAAGTGACGTTTCAATAGACAGAAAAAGAAATCTAACTCACCCACTGTGCACAAGACTAAAAAGAATTACTACAGATGGTGCACTAAATCGGAAACTAGAGGTACTCTGAAAAGTGTTCAAGGTACACAGTTATTCTTCATTAAAAGGAATATGGAGTCCGCATAACCCCAGAGACGAACCTCTACCACCTCAAAGTCACCTTTTATGGATATAGCATTTAATACAGATAACGGTAGAGATACTGAAGAAAAGACTGTGTAAAGCACTGAGGAAAAGCTTTTTCGTCCGACTCCGGATTATTTTCTACACTTGCTAACTACTTCGAAGGTGTGTAAAAGAAAAACTACTGCTGTGAACCACTACGTGTGTCTCCTCATTCACCTGCTCCGGTGGAGGTGGTTACATAGACGGCACAAATATTTGAAAATAGTGCAGACTCACCATCAGGATGTAAAAGAAGCCTTAGCGACATTATTTCAAGCCTGGTCTCTATGTTCAAAAGAAGTGCGTGCAATCTCTTATTTTACCCTAGTCATAATCATCCTACAACATTTTTCTTTTTAATACTATTTGTAAATATTATTTTCATCCTCTTTTCCTTAATCTGTAATTGTTAATATCAGTTTTCCTATTTCTTACCTGCTCTTCTAACTTTTTGGATCAATTCGCTATTACTGTATGATTCTAGAAGCAATTCACTGATACATTCCAAAACAAATCTTTAATGACCTTGTGTTGACTTATTAGTCATTGCTGGATGTATTTTCGTCAGCTGTTGCTCTTGGAATTCTATTTTCCGTGCTTGTAAACACCTGACGATATTAAACAAGGTGTAATAAAGACCATTAACAGCTTTATATCCCCATACTTAGTCAAAACAAATCATATGGTGGATATGATTAAGCCATTTTCTATTATTTTCTGGACGCTTATCAACTTGCCGAAACCCACTAGACTTCAAAATCCAGAAGCGGTAGCAGTTCGAACGAATCAACCCGATTTAGGTTCAGAAAAGTAACAGATATTGACGTAGTTCAGAATTAACAAATTCTTGCGCGTCCTACCACATGAACTGTGATTTCAGCATTGTACGTATTTCCTCATCTCGATAATCTGCAGCAGTCTTATTACATTCTCTTAGCCTATCTTTATGACTTTACATTCTTATCATTTTACTTCAACCAATATTTTTCAAATGACCCATCTTCATTTCAAACACATCCACACAAACGAACGAACACAAACATGAATATACATATTCCCTTAGTACTTCTTAATGGTCATAGGTTGTATCAAATTCCTTCATTTTTGTCCCCATATGTTTAAAACTTTTTATTCGTCACTTGTTATTTATCCCATTTTGCATTCCCACTTCACTACGTTTCATTCCCCCTCTACTTACGGTAAGCTTTACTCTTTTGGTTTTCATTATCGAAATGATTAAAATTTATTTTAATCAATCGGGATTATAATATTTACCGCCGTTCATGATCCTTTACTGTGAGCAATAACTCTTTGAAATAGTTGATTTTGACCTAATATTACATAAGACATAACCATCTACATAATTAATCATTTCGGACCGAGTTCTAGTGATATCTGATTCTGACATTGTCTTTTCTGAAGAGCATTCCTGGACTTCTTAATATGACCGACTGATTCAACCTTATGGAAAGATAACTGTAGAACCTGAGGAAGAGGTTATTCAAAAGAATATTCTTTGACCATCAAAATGTCTCTTATTAATTTCTCATATTGCACATGGTAGTTGTAAAAAGTATCCTAAAGGAGTTTTTGCACTAAGCCTGATTAAATCATCATCATATCAGTGTGTTTCGAAAGTTTAAACGTCCTTTTTTTCTTTACAGACGTTTCGTCTAACCAGTGACTAACAAACATACTCACTTATTATACTACTTAGCTACATAATATATTTTTCAATAAACACCCGTGTAATTTTGCTTCCAAAGTAGTGTTTAGAAAGATCTTGCTTTGATTTGCCAACGGCGCTGAGGTTTTGTTGAAATGTTTTTATCCTGATACCTGGAAAGTATTAACGTATTTCTAATTGGTCCGGTAATGAAACACAGAGATTGATACAAGATCTGGTATAATTGCATAGATATTCGATTTCTCGTACTTCATAACAAGATAGAAATAGAAGGGAGAATGTTACAATGCAAATAA